TAATAGACATAATAGACTCTATAATAAATCGACATAATAGAAATAAAAGACATAATAGACATAATAGACATAATAGACTCTAATATACATAATAGACTATAATAGACATAATAGACTATAATAGACATAATAGACTCTATAATAAATCGACATAATAGAAATAAAAGACATAATAGACATAATAGACATTATAGACTCTAATAGACATAATAGACTCTAATAGACTCTAGATAATAATTTCTATTATGATTATTATCTTGATATTATCTTGCCGTTAGTTTGTGCCAGATAAAGTATATCTCCTGTGCCAGATGAGACCCCAATCCGATGTTTTCCGTCTTTGATATGGTTCCTTGGACTTTAAAGACTAATATAACTTACTATTAACCAAATATAACCACACACACTATATATAGATACTATATATCTTTATAGTATAATATTTACTAGGTTACGAGGTTACTACGCAAAAGCAAATACGTACGTCGCCATTATGCCGCACTAACCCTTCCCCCATTAACAGAAAAACTATGTGCATATATCTTTCTCATTTTCGAGCATATCAAACTCAAATGTAAAGCCCGGCGCACACATGAGTAATTTTACTCGAGTAAAATGATGCATGCGTCAAAATACTCACGCGAAATATTTTCAGCGTCCGCAGCACACGTGAGTAAAATTACTCAAGGTATAAGTGGTAATGCAGATCACGTGACTGTGCGCAGCCAATACTGGTCGCACAATGATTTTAACGCATGCGCTGTGAGTACCAGTGTTGAGCAAATTTACTCAGCGCGCGCGCACACAGTGAGTATATTGACGCACGAGTCAAAAATTATCAAACTTGTTTGATATTGAGTTTCTTGATGCATGCGTCAGAAAACTCAACGAAAATCCGCCGCACACGTGAGTATTTTGACGCATGCATCATTTTACTTGAGTAAAAAATTACTCACGTGTGCGCCGGGCTATACGATTCGTCGCAGTGTTTACAGTTCAAATCTACAGTTAATACGACCAAGCCACTTAACTGTAATTCAAGCTTGCCGACAGATAATCAGCAATTATTAGCGATGTGAAAATTGCGTACACCAGTCTCCCAGCCAGCTGCCACTTCAGGCCAGAATGCATAAACGTTTCTTACCAAAACAAAAAGTAGTTTACCTGAAGATTTTCAGGATGTTATAGTGTCGGCAGAAAAGATATCCATGAGCCGATACACTGATCTCTGGCAATTTTCAAGTATATGTTTAAGCGTACGATACTACTTGATGATACTACATGATTTCCACCCTATTTGGTGTCAAGAATGAGTAGCCACAGGTCAGTGCGGCTGTGCATCTCCCGGTAGGTTCTTACCGAAGTCTCTGCTTGCTCGGCGGCTGACGCACAGTGATGAAGCGGGCCGGTTGCCATGACGACGAAGATCACGCGTATGTCTGGCACACACAAAAAACGCAGAATCTCTCTCTCCCTCTCTCTATCCCAGAGGTGTGAGCTTGAATTCACCTGCTTCGTATCTGTGTTCGCAGGCGCTTGTTCTGCCTGGCAGGATCTACAGCATAACGCTGGGAATTAACATGGAGAACTCCGAGTCGGCGCTCGGTGTTCGATTCTACGGTGCTGCACTAGCATGTAAGTGCCGCTACCTATCGGCGAGAATTTTCACGAATTTGATGCGGAAACGGATAGGCGTGCGTCAGTGGGACTATGGGATTTCACTCCTCGTTGAGTTATAGATTTTATATTATAGATATATAGATTATTATGTTAGATATTATAGATATATAGATTAGATTATTAGAACGTAATTCTTAAATATAATCACAAACATTCATGGTTTCGACGATGTCTGTCTCTGTTGATGTGAGGAGAGGGGGATGGTACTGTTAAGGGAGGAGACAAGGAAAGCTCTATGGTTTGGCAGGGTAAGCGATAAAGAAGGGAAGCTCGCTGGAGAGAGTGAGGGCGGAGAGGGAGAGAGTGCGAAAGAGAGAAGAGGCAGAGAGAAAGACAGAGAGAGAGAGAGAGAAAAGGCGAGAAAGAGAGAGAAAGAGTCAGGGATAAAGAGTGCGCGAAGAGAGATAGAGAGAGTCAGGGGTAAAAATTGAGAGACAGAGAAAACGAGAGCGAACAAGAGAAAGAAAAAGAGAGAGAGAGGTGGGGAAGGAGGGCAAGCGCTTTACACTGTAGGCTTCCCTGACGTCACGCTGACGTCATCATCATGTCGTCTGCTTGCAGGTATAGCCGTGTTGCTATGGAACGTTATCGGCTCCACGGACAAGCCGCTGCTTAGGCTGTCCCTCATGGTGTCCGGTGTACATTACGGAATACAGATACTTGGTGAGTTCTACCACATGGTGAAGCGAACCGGCAACCGTCTAGGCGCGTAGCCGAAGAACAATGCAATTCGATTGTTATTCTTTTTTCCGGTTTACGCTATTATATTGTAAGCCATATGTTAATGTCTCGCCGCCATCTTGTAACGACATTGGGTCAAAGTGCGTGATGATCAAGCGTTCGAATGACGCGATAAAAAAACTGGTGTGGAGGGAGGGGGTAGACAGGAGAATTGGGTAGTGCGTCAGGATGGAGTGAGGGGAGGGACTAGGATGATATTATCAAGAGTACATAATAGACTCTAATAGACATAATAGACTTTATAATAAATAGACATAATAGACATAAAATACATAATAGACTATAATAAATAGACATAATAGACATAAAAGACATAATAGACATAATAGACTCTATAATAAATCGACATAATAGACATAAAAGACACAATAGACATAATAGACATAATAGACATAATAGACATAAAAGACATAATAGACATAATAGACATAAAAGACATCAAAGACATAAAAGACATAATAGACATAATAGACATAATAGACTCTAATAGACATAATAGACTCTATAATAAATCGACATAAAAGACATAAAAGACATAATAGACATAATAGACATAATAGACGCTAATAGACATAATAGACTCTATAATAAATCGACATAATAGACATAATAGACTATAATAAATCGACATAATAGACATAAAAGACATAATAGACTCTGATAGACATAATAGACTCAAATAGACATAATAGACTCAAATAGACATAATAGACTCTATAATAAATCGACATAATAGACATAAAAGACATAATAGACATAATAGCCAGAATAAACTCTAATAGACATAATAGACATAATAGACATAAAAGACATAATAGACTCTAATAGACATAATAGACTTTACTAGACATAATAGACTTTACTAGACATAATAGACTATAATAAATCGACATAATAGACTATAATAAATCGACATAATAGACATACTAGACATAATAGACTCTATAATAAATCGACATAATAGATATAAAAGACATAATAGACTATATAATAAATTGACATAATAGACATCAAAGACATAATAGACATAATAGACATAATAGACATAATAGACACAATAGACATAAAAGACATAATAGACATAACAGACTCTAATAGACATAATATACTTTATAATAAATAGACATAATAGACATAAAACACATAATAGACATAATAGACATAATAGACATAAAGACATAATAGACATAACAGACATAAAAGACATAATAGACATAATAGACATAATAGACATAATAGCCATAATAGACATAATAGACATAAAAGACATAATAGACATAATAGACTCTAATAGACATAATAGACTATAATAAATCGACATAATAGATATAATAGACATAATAGATATAATAGACATAATAGACATAATAGACATAAAAGACATCAATAGAAATAATAGACATAATAAGACTCTAATAGACATAGATAGGACTCTGTTAATAAATCGACATAATTAGGAGATAAAAGACATAATAGACATAATAGTACCCAAAATAGATCATAATAGACTTCCTAATAGACATAATAGACAATAATAGACATTAAAAGCATATATAGACATATAAGCCATAATAGACATAATAGACGATAATAGACTCTTAATAGACATTAATAGACTACATAGACATAATAGACTAATAGACATCAAATAGGACTCTATAATAAATCGACATAATAGAGCATAAAAGAACATAATAGACATAATAGACATAATAGCCATAATAAAAATAATAGGACATAACAGATATATAGACATTAATAGACTCAATAAGACATAAATGCGACTTCTATACATAAATCGACATAATGAGAATAAAAGACCATAATAGACATAATAGACATAATAGACTCAAATAGACATATAGACTCTATATACTAAATCGACATAATGAGACAGTAAAGACATAATAGACATAATAGACTATAATAAGATCGACATAATAGACATAAAAAAACATAATAGACATAATAGATCATAATAGGCCATAATTAGAGCTCTATAATACATCGACATAATGTAGACATTAAAAGACATAATGGAGACATCAATCGACTCTAATAGACTAATAGACTATATAAATGCGGACGATAATTAGATATAAAAGACATAAATAGACTATATAATAAATTGAACGACTCAAAGAATAAAGACATAATATGACATAATAGCATCAATAGACAAAAAGAACATAATAGGACTCTAAGTAGACATAATAGGACTATAATAAATCGACGATTAATAGACATAATAGACTCTAATAGACATAATATACTATATAATAAATCGACATAATAGACATAATAGACTCTAATAGACATAATAGAGACTATAATAAATCAACATAATAGACATAAAAGACATAATAGCCATAATAGACTATAAAGAATAATAGATCCCTTTTTTCTTTTTAATAGACATAATAAACTCTTAATGACATAATAGACTCTAATAGACATAATTGACTCTAGTATAAATCTACTGTAATAGAGCATAAAAGACATAATTAGGACATAATAGACATAAAAGACATAATAGCCATAATAGACATAATAGACATAATAGACTCTAATAGACATAATAAACTCTAATAGACATAATAGACTCTAATAGACATAATAGACTCTATAATAAATCGACATAATAGACATAATAGACATAATTTGACTCTTAATAGGATCATAACAGACTCTATATAATCGAGCATTAATAGACATATAAAACATAATAGACATAATAGACTATAATAAATCGACATAATGTAGACATAAAAGACATAAAACTATAAGTTAGACTTTTAAGTATACATAATAGACTATAATAAATCGACATAATAGACCCATAAAAGACATAATAGACCATAATAGACTTCTATATAGACATTAAATAGACTATAATGAATTCAAATAATAGACATAAAAGACATAATAACCATAATAGACATAATAGACATACATAGACAATGTTAAGACTAATAGACATAAGACAGACTAGGATTAATAGACATTAACTCTGACTAATAGGAACTCTAATAATAGTACGATACATAGATTACGATATGAATAAAGACATAATAGACATACTAGCTAATAGACATAATAGACAATAATAGACCATAATAGACATAAAAGACATAATAGGAATAATAGACTCTATAATAAATTGACACTAATAGACATAAAGATCATAATATGACTATAATAGACATAAAAGACATAATAGACATAATAGACATAATAGCCATAATAGACATAATAGACATAATAAACTCTATAATAAATCGACATAATAGACATAAAAGACATAATAGACATAATAGACAATAGATTCTATAATAAATCGACATAATAGACATAAAAGACATAATAGCCATAATAAACTCTATATAAATCGACATAAAGTAGACATAAAAGACATAATAGACAATAATGACAATGAGATTCTATAATAAATCGACATTAATTAGACATAAAAGAACATAATAGCCAAATAGACATATAGAAATAAAAGACATAATAGACATAATTAGACTCCCTCAATAGAAACACTAATAGACTCTATAATAATCGACATAAAGAAATAGAAATGACATTAATAGACTATAAGTTAGACATAATAGACTCTAATATAGCATAATAGCAGTATAATAGATCATAGAATAGACTATAATAGACATAAAGACTCTATAATTAAAAATCGACATATAGAAATAAAAGGACATAATAGACATAATAGACATTAGTAGACTCTAATAGACATAAATAGACTCTCAATAGACTCTAGACTAAATAATTGTCTATTATGATTATTATCTTGATATTATCTGTGCCGTTAGTTTATTGCCAGACTAAAGTCATATCCTCCTTGCCCAGAATGAGACCCCACATCGATGTTTTCCGTCTTTGATTATTGGTTCCTTGGACTTTAGAAGCTAATTATAAGCTTACTATTAACCAAATATAACCACACACACCTATTATTATAGATACTATTATATCTTTATAGCTATAATATTTACATAGTTTACCCGAGAGTTACTACGCAAAAGCAAATACGTACGTCCGCCATTAGTGCCCGCACTAACCCTTCCCCCATTACAGAAAATAACTTATGTGCATATTCTCTTCTCAGTTTCGGAGGCATATCAGAACTCAAATGTAAAGGCCACGGCCGAACACATGAGTAATTTTACTTTCGAGTAAAATGATGGATGCTGTCAAATACCTCACCGAAATATTTCAGCCGTTCCGCAAGCACACACGCTGAGTACAATATTACTTCAAGGCTTAATAGGCTAATGCAGACTCACGTGACTGTTGCGCAGCCAATACTGGGTCGCCACTCAATGATTTTAACGCATGCCGCTGTGTGCAGCTACCAGTGTTGAGCAATTTACTTAGCGCGGCCGCGCACACAGTGAGTATATTGACGCCCGAGTCAAAAATTATCCAAAACTTGTTTGATTATTGAGTTTCTTGATGTCATGGCGTCAGAAAACTCAACGAACAACTCCGCGCACACGTTGATATTTGACGCATGGCATCATTTTACTGGGAGTAAAAATATTACTCACTGCTGCGCCGGGTAAACGATTCGTGTCGCAGTCGTTTTTACAGTTCAAATCTACAGTTAATACGACCAAGCCACTTTAACTGTAATTCAAGCTTGCGGACAGATAATCAGCAATTTATTAGCGATGTGACAATTGCGTACACCAGTCTCCCAGCCAGCTGACACTTCAGGCCAGAATGCATAAAACTTTCTCTTACCAAAAACAAAAGTAGTTTACCTGAAGATTTTCAGGATGTTCTATTAGGTCGGGCAGAAAAGATATCCATCGATGCCGCATCCACTGATCTCTGGCCAAACTTTTTCAACGTATATTGTTAAGGGCTACGTCACTACTAACTTGAAGTGAACTACA